TAAGTGGATAGTGTGATTGACTTGGAGTTACACACACACACTGAAAACAGTATTTTTTGCCTCCTGAAACCCCGCCCCCTTCACCAAAATGGCCGTGCTTGCCTTTAAGAGGCTTTTACAGTACTCCTGGGGCCTGGGGAGGGCAGAAATGAGTGAAAAACGGGCTGATTTTTGCTCAGTTCCCCCTCCTCCAGCCCCTAGGAGCACTCTATAAACCTCCTAAAAGCTATACTTGCCCTTTTTTTTTGACAAAAAGTGGCTGTTTTTTGGTCGTTTGGGGGGCACCCTCCAGGAACACTCTACAAACTTCATAAAGGCTATTCATGCCCTTTTTGGGAGGGGGGGAAATGGGTCTGTTTTCGCGAAAAATGGGCCGGTTTTGGGTGGTCTACAGAGAACAAAAACCTTTTTCTTAATTTGCCTCTTCAAAATCTTGGTGCATCTTATACTCCGATGCGTCTTATACTCCAAAAAATACTGTACTCCATTGTTAAGTGAAGTGGAAATCACTTACTAAAATCTGGATGCTGGGCAGCCAGCATGTATTTACGATAGTCGCAGGATACTAGAATCTTGTGAGCATCATTTGTGACCTTCTCAGTTGACTTCTGGCAAGCAAAAAGGGAGAAGCCAAATTCACTTAACAGCTGCAGTGATTCACTTAACAACCATTGCAAAATCATGACTCTGAAGACTCTTACTTCAGCTTTCCTTTGCTTTACAAATGTGCAAAGGTTATAAATGCGAAATTTAGTCACAAAGTTACTTTTTCATCAACATTATAACTGCAAGTGATTATTGTACGAGGCAGTTATTAAACAAGGACTACCTGCAGTCCCTTCCTTTCATTTACTGCCCCCAAGTTTCAAGTACAACTGGGAAGAAAATAACAAGTTCACTCTGCTCTGCAGATTCCCATAAGATTCTAGTAAAAAGCACCATATTTTCCCCCTTATTCTTGAATAAGAATGTTAATTTCCAATAAGGAATTACACTATTATTTTTTTCATTACGTAACTGTAATTGGAGATGATGGGTTCTTCTATTAGTAATAGTGTCTGTTATGCCAATCTTTGGTTTCACACTAAAGGCAAGACACTGCCAAAGCATTCTCTTGAGATTACCATATTTTTCAGAGTNTATTTATCCATGTGCTGGATAAGGAAATCGCTGACAACCTGCAGTACCTAAGATTTGTTTCTGCTGGCACAGTACTTGATCAATGTAATTCTCATCAATTGCTGCAACTAAAAAGGTTTCGGAAAGAAAAAAAAAGTTTTTGCACTCTGCAAACCTTCCCAAAATGGCCCATTTTTTGCAAAAACAAGCTGTTTTCTTTCAAATAAAAGGCATGATTAGCCTTTGGAGGGCTTGCAAAGTGCTTCTGGGGTTGGGGGGGAGAAGAGCAAAAACGGCCCATTTTCCGCAAAAACGGCCCATTTTTCATCAAAAAAATTGCATGCATAGCCTTATGGAAGCTTATAGAGTGCTGCTGGAGGTGGGGGGGGGGGGGAAAACATTGGCCCATTTTTTGCTCATTGTTGCCCTCCCCAGCCCCTAGGAGCTGTCTGAAAGCCTCCATTAGGGTATGCACAGCCATTTTGGGGAAGAGGCGGGACTTCAGGAGGCAAAAAAATGCTGTATAAGATGTATAAGGCGCACCCAGATTTTCAGCCTTTTTTGAGGAAAAAAGGTGCGTCTTATACTCCAAAACATACGGTAATTAGCAAATTAAAAAAATTGCACAATTCTTAGGAAAACACTATTAAATACAAAACCGTTTTGTTTAAATCAAAGCCTGAAAAAAGAAACCATGAATTCATGAAAGAACTTTCAGGAATTTACTCACAGGAAAAAGTGTAAAACTGTCATCAGCTTCAAAAATTTGCAGAGTGATTAAGTCACTTCATGGAGAACTAACCAATCTTGATGTTTGAACCCAATAATGTCATACTGTGTTTCCCCGAAAATAGACCCAGTCTTATTTTTTGGGGAGGGGGGCTTGGAAATAAGCACTAGGGGTTATTTTTTGTGATATTTTTTTTGTACAGGTGGTAGTGAATGTGAGGGCCGATGCGAGTTGGAGTGCAGCTACCACTGACCCCCGTCCTCTCCTTTCCACTTTCTGTTTGCCCGTGGCTGCAACAGGCCAAGCTCTTGGCATGCCCTGGTCTCTACCCTCCCTGCCTGCTGGCCCAGCTGGTGCCAGGACCCTTCTTGACTGCAGGGGGTGCCTTGCTGGCCACCAAGCGGCTGCCCTTGCTGCTGCTGGCCTCGCAGGAGTTCTTTACCGGAACGATTTGCTCTATTCTCAAGCACCCCATAGGTGACCAAATACTTTCCATCCGGATGGAGAAATGATGGAGACTCAAAGCTTCGTCTGCTTGCAAAGGAGGTAATGTGGGCTCCGTTTCAAAGCATCCTCTTTGCAAGCAGATGAAGCTTTGTCTCTCTCTGGGTGAAAAGTGCGCAGCAGAGCCAGGTGGAGGCAGAGGCGATCCCAACGTGCTGCCCACTCCATCCCACTGTCTCTTGGGTTGCCTGCAGCTGCAACGAACAGCACTCGTGCAGGGGCATCAGGATCACCCGCCTCCCCTATCCCCTATACCTCTGTCTCTACCTGCTGCTGATGTCACCACGCAAGCCTCCTGCAAGCCTCCCTTGAATCAGGCAACTGTCGAGCACATCTGGATCGCTTGTCTTCGTCCTCCCGCCTCTGCCTCTATGCTTGGCCTTATCAGTATTTGTGCTGTGGCAAGGGACCAGTGGGCTGCACCGAATGCTGGACACTGTCGGCCCCCATGCATTTGCCATCTCTCATGCAGGCCATGCCCATCCCCCCAGGCTTATTTTCAGGGTAGGACTTCCCAAAAGGCCAACCCCCCAAAAAAATCAGGCTAGGGCTTGTTGGGCCTTAGGATGGGCCTTATTTTGGGGAAAACACGGCATTAAAAATATACCAGACGCTGGGAAAATATTTTACCAGATGCTGGGAAAACAGCAGAAATAAAACTACAAAGACAGAAGCATTTAAACTCATTTTCTGTAAATAAGATTTTATATTCAGTCTTCAATTGCTTTTTCAGATCACCATATTCCAAAAAGAATTACAGTGTAATAATGTACTCTTGTAAGTTAATATTTACTGCCTGGGTTTTTAGGAAATACAATAGAAAGTAAATCATCCTATAAGATCCACCGAAATGGTTGGAAGATAAGACGATCAAGACCATGGTACAAACTGCAGTTGCTAAAAGGAAATTGTACACTAGCATTAAATGAAAAGATGCAACAGCTAGACTGGATGCCATAGACAGAATGATACATACGATGTGTAAGATTTTGCAGTATTCCTCAATTTCTCTGTCCTTTGCAACAGACCTTCCTTAGATAACATCGACATACGGGCATCTCCTTCTGGAGGAACGTAAGGTTCAAAGATCCCCCCTGGGTTGCCAAAATAAGAAAAAAATATAATGAACAATTGTTTTTAAAACATGCTCCGCAATCAAATGTAAAACATTAATGTTAAAAAAATTGAGGTAAAATATTATTGCTTGGACTTTCCACCTCCCATCCCCATGTTAGTGAATTTAAAATTTCTTCCATAGAATTTGATCTTGTTAACATCCTACTGCTATAAAAAATGTGTATTGCTGAATGGCCTTGACTTACAGCTTCAATTACCTACCCTGTTTTCCTGAAAATAAGATCTCCCCGGATAATAAGCCCAATTGGCCTTTTAAGGGCATGCACTAAAATAAGCCCTCCCCCAAAAATATTGCAACACAGCAGCAGCCATGCTCGTAACCTCCTGCACCTCAAAAATAAGCCCTCCCTGAAAATAATGCCAAGTGCTTATTTCGGGGATCAAAAGAAAATAAGACCTGTCTTATTTTTGGAGAAACACAGTATTACTATTGTGGAAAAACTTTCTACTGACAATGTGGACAGTGGTTACAATACAAAAAGTACTGCACTCTAACCACTGCACCACCGCAACTCATGAATAAATGTATTTGTGCAGAATGACAGAAAGAAGAAAGATGGTGCCAAAAAGTAAGACTATCTATTATTTTGTTTTAATTTTTCCACCGGCCACTAAAGTCTCTTGGTAGTTTCCAATAAAAACAAATTTTCAAAGAAGATTTTTAAAAGCAGTAAGAATAACATGTACAAAATGCAACCAGTAATAATAAGAATTTGAATCAATAATTGAAAGCTTCAAGGACCCTTCTGAAAGTTAGTAAGGTGTTAGGTTCATTAATTCTGCAGGGACCCCATATTCAATAACTAATTGGTTGGTCAGAGATAGTGGCCAGTCTATAGTTAATGAGAACTCTAGAGGAAATAGATTATGAAGACTCACTTCAGTCAGGTTTTGGGCCAAGATTTAGTACTGCAAGAGCCTTTATCGTGCTTGCAGATGATCTGTCATGGAGTAATGCATCTATTCTTGCACTCCTTGACCTCTCAGTGGCTTTTGATATTGGTGACCATGGTATCCTTGTAAGCTAGAGATGGGGGCCTGGTTTCAGTCAGTGTTTGTTAGGGAGCAAAGATCACTCCATAGGTTCCTTCATAGAAAACATGTAAAGTGCTACATGTTTCCACCCTCTCTTCTAATTAATATGTATAGGTAGTCCTTTGGTTATGACAGCATTTGAGACTGGGACTACTGTCACTAAATGATGCAATCTTAGTAAAATGTCATGTGACTACATCATTTAGCAATGACAATCCCAACAGTGCTGATTGCCATCATAACCCCAAGATGCATAGATAGTGGGAAGCAGCAGGGATCCCAGGTAAGGAATATAGGGATGCTAGCCTCAACAGCTCTCAGAGAGTACTAACAACCAAATGGCTGAAAAGAAATACAGTCCTTCCATCCCTCCCCACCATCCTTGTGGCACGACATAANCAACCCTGAGCCGGTGAGATTTGAACCGCTGACCTGCTGATCTAGCAGTAGCCTGCAGTGCTGCTTTTAACCACTGCGCCACCTTGGCTCTTAAGTGCAATCTTCAAACCTATTTAAAACTTTTAAAAACTTTATTCCAAACCATAATTTCTAAATCATCTACAAAGGATATAGATGATTTAAAAATATAGAATATGAGATTACTAGCTACATAAGTACCATATTTTTTTTAATTCAAGAAACTGTCACTACCCTTACATCTATGAAATCAGAGAAAGCTCCTGACCCTGTGGATTTCAGTGGATTGTAAAATAAAAGTTGATTAGGTTTTGTATCTTAAAATCTATTACTTTATTAATCAAAAAGTAACAATATACAACCAATATCGCAAAGTACACATCAATTATTCTAGCAAGGAAGACTGAAAAATGGAATAATATAGGGATTATACAGCTTGATATATACCTCATAATTTAACCAGAGGCATAACACATAAGAAGCTCGCCCAACATATCCAATTTTGTCTTCCTGTTTTGTTTTTTTGGTCTTATTATTTGTCGCATTAAATATGTGGATCTGGCACCTCTTGATGATTCTTCCTTAAGCTTCCGAAGGTGTCACGGTTGGTCCTGGGATCATAACAGTCTGGAAAGTGTAAGGTTGGGGAAAAAGAAAACACAAAATCAATGCCCCAATTGTCAAGAGTTCATTAACTATGAAATATAAAGGAAATGCACTGACTTCCCATTGCATAAGCAACTGTTTATTTTAAAAAACTGACTTAAGAAAACATAGAAGGACTAGACCTCAAAACTCTGGAAAAAAGTGGGAATGTTGGAACACATTGGTTGGATTGATACGTTTCTCTGAAAATACAACCTAACTCGAAAACAAGTCCTAGCCTGATTTTCACACCTGGACCAAATATAAGCCCTACTCCTAATGTAAGCCCTACTTAGGAGCTTGTGCAGCCATTCTGTCTGGTTGCTGCCAACACGAGGCGAAGGGGTTGCCACAGCCACTAAGCAAGATGGTAGAGCATGATGAAATGAGGTGGTGTGGGTGGGTGGAGGAGGAAGCTTCTTTTCCTTGCTCGCTGCTGCAACAGAGCAGGAGGCTGAGAGATACACTAGTGCTATGGCCACTAAGCAAGGTGGTGGGGAGATGGAGGACAAAGTGAAGCGGTGGGGGGATAGAGGATGATGCCCCAATAGTATCCTTGGCTGCCCAGCCTGAAGAACTCTGATACTGACGACGTTTGTGGGACAAAAAAACCCAAAAAGATCAATTAGACCTTCCAACTTCTTGAGGGGAAAAAAAAAAGATTTCACAAAGTTGGAAGGTCTGATTGATCTTTTTTTTCACTGGTAGTCCCAGTCTTCTTTTGTTGCCTTGCCACACGGTGGAGAACGGAAGTCGAAAGGAGGTTAGTGAAAGGATGCTTTGGTGAAATGAGGAGAGCTGGGCAGGAGTTGATTTAGATTTATTTTATTTGTATGCCGCCCTTCTCCGGGAGGGACTCAGGGCGGCGAAGTTGGAAAGCAGTTGACAAAGTAATCCCCCATGCAATTGGTAATGGAACGGGAGACACCCTGCTAGCCGCCGGCGGGTGAGATGCTCTAGTTGCCGTCACACTCTGCCAGCATCATGGCTCTGTGAGCCAGGAAGCCAAGAATACTATTGGGACTTCTCATTTCAAAACGCCTCATTTCGTTCTCCACCACCCTTACCGCCTCACTTAGTGGCTGTGGCACCAGTGAACCACTTTGTCCTCCACCCCCACCATCTCGCCTCACACCACCATCTCACCTCCTGCTCCGTTGCAGTCACAAAATAAACAAGATCTCCATGAAAATAAACCCTGGTGCTTAATTTGGCAACCAAATATATATATAAGACCAGGTCTTATTTTCAGGGAAACACACGATAATGCAATTTGTTTGGTTTTGAATTTGAATGATGATGTGCAATCCAAGCTGATCCTATCATTTATAAGATAGTTCATTCCCAATGACTGTGCTTCTTCAGTCAAGATTGTATGAGTTACTTTTGACATTATTTAAACAGGAAACTAAGGTTTTAAGATTATGACTTATCTAAGGATTATATGAGCACAGGACAGGGCTACAGTGTGAACTCAAGCACACACCTCTGACTCTATAATAGTTTCCTCCAAACTACCACTCCTCATGCTCCTGCCAATGTCCACTGGTTATGCTAGATGAGAATGTGAGGATCTATAATCCCATGTCTCCAGAAAGCATGAAATTGACAGAAGTCCTGTAATGGGCTTATAATAATGCATGTAAGTGTTGAGAAAAATGCTAGCATATTACCATCAGTTAAAAACATACTTGTTTTTAAACTGAGCCACTTGCTGATTATTCAATAAACCATGGATAATTAATTGACAATAGCTCATTTCATACGATAAAACCAAACAAATCACAATATGATTTAATAGGATATATGAATCAAAAAGCGAAAGTTAGAATATTTTGGACATGTGATGCGACACCCGGAAAAATACATCATATTTCACTTAATCCTCCAGGGAAAGACTGAAGGCAAATGAGGTCCATACAGAACATAATGGCTTCAAAATCCAAGGAACAGGTTTGGACAAAACTCAGCAGCACTTTTTTCTGTGGCTGTTAATCAAAATAGAGTCACTAACATGATTGTCAGCGTCAGATGATGGATATGGCACAAGAAGAATATGAATCAAGATACTTTATTCTTTATTAGATAAAAGATAGATGCCAAAACCGTAACATTGCTCTGGTTTATGCATCAAAAAAATTAAGATACCTTTACAAATAAATACCATATCATAACCTAAACACATACCTTGATTAGAGGATCTTTTGGAGGCGCCCAGGATGGAACAATCTTGTCATGTAATCTCCACTGGCCAGTTTTGTGTAGCAAATGTTTTTCAAACACAGCATATTCCAGAATATCCTTTGGTATCTGTTCACTTCCATACATAAGCCTCCCAAACTGATCATAGATAGCTAAAATCTGTCAGAAAAAAAAAGAATAAACCAACCCTGTGACATTAAGCAGTGATATGCAAAACACATTCTGATACCTCCAGAGCAGCAGTGATTGGAATTACATACCTGTCGAAGGTGAATTCGAACTGTCACTTGCCCATACAAAAGATCCTCGTTCAGCAAAGTTGGGCATCGCACCTGGACCACTCTAGGGGGCTCCAATGATTCCAGAAATCTCCATCGAATGGTCTTATGTTCATTTCCTTGTACCATTTCCTAGCAAATACAACATGTCTAAAATTTCAGCATGTTCAAATTAAGCAGATTAAGCATACTAATGCACGAGGATTAAAAATACTTATGAGCAGCTACAAGAATTTTGTTAAGGAAAATATTAAGAGAATAAAAATGGAAATGACCAAAACAAAAAGAACACCCAAATCCCTATCTTTTAATAACTCCAAAATTTTAAACTGCAAAATATTGGGGTCAAGATTTAATGATTTGGTATAAAATATTTTTCCACTCCTGAAAGAAAGTAGAAAGGGGTAAAAACAATTGAAGAAAAAAATGGGGCAAATAAGCAAGACCATGTGAGAAAAAAGAAATGGGTGTAAAATACAAAGTCATGCTGTGAGCAACTGAAACTCATAGTACTGTTTAGAACAGGGGTTCCCAACCCCCGGCCCCAGCCCATTACTGGTCCGTGGCCTATTTACAACTGGGCCACATGAGTAGCAGGTCAGGGTGCACATGCACTTAGCTCAACTCGTACACGCAGATCAACTCTCATGCGCAGCCCAACTCACTAATTGAGCTATGAGTGCATATGCACTGGGCCACTGCTCACACTGCCCGGTTCTGCTCTCCCCCTCCCCAGTCAAGCTGGCAAGCTGCAAAGGTTGTGGACCGCTGGTTTAGACAAAATAGACTAGTTTAGTAATGGTTAACTTTTCAGTATCAAGTGCCAAAACTAGAATGTGTGTATGTGCATGCCGGAGCACCGGAACCCAGAAGAGCAGCTGACGACGGCACACATACCCACCGAGAGGGCTCTGCAGGCCACCTCTGGCACATGTGCCATAGGTTCGCCATCATGGGGCTAATTTATTCACATTCAGAACTTTTTACATACAGCATTTTCAGTGAAACCAATAATTTGATATAATGTTTCCAAAGATGAAGTCTAAACTATACCTGCAGACATTAGAAACAGAACAAAAAAGAGACTTAAAGGCAACCTTCTGGGGTCAGGCTGTTATAAGCCAAGCTGAGCCCTTAGGCAGTTTTCCCCAAACCTTGTAATGAGTTTTAGAGCCCATGCAGATGTTAACAAACACTGTGCATTACTTCCTATTCCCTTTTAGATTTTTTTTTAAATATAAAAAATATGTTTGCTCCATACTTTAATTTTAAGTGCATACAAGGATGTCAAACTAGCAAAGCACATCAGGGGCTTGAAATGAAGGAGTCCACCAATGATGGTTAACTCTGCCTAGTGTGGCAGACTAACAACGCAGGAATATCACAGGGCAGTAGAGCGAGTATCTACTACAGAAAAGCGTCATGACATATCTTCTTAAAAGTCTTTTAAGCAATCACTTGCTGATATCATCACAGATTCTTACCGGGTAACAGTGTTCAGTCACTAGAGTGTGGAGTTTCTCCTCATTAAAACTGTAGGAATTTAGAAAAATAATACACGATCATGTTGCTTGTAAGTATCAACTCAATTAAGATACTATTCAGTTTGAAACACATCAGCATGGACATCATGCACATACAATGCTTGACAACTTCTAATATGTAGAGAGAATAATCCTATTATTATTCAGGAATAATCCTGAAGGAAGACCACTGTTAACAAAATTCAAGTTACGCTGTACTATGCAAGGCTGGAAAGAAAAAAAACCCCTCTGTGAATCAAGACAAAAGTACTGTATAGGAAAAGGAAGATACAATAGACAATTTCAAAACAGCTGATAAAAGAGTGTCAGAATGCACAAATACACTTCAAAAGAGGCTGAAAAACTGGGTGCGTCTTATACACTGAATACAGCATGTTTTGCCTCTCGAAACCCCTCCTCCTTCACCAAAATGGCTGTGTTTAGCCTTTAGGAGGCTTCCAGAGTGCTCCTGGGGGCTGGGGAGGGCAAAAATGAGTGAAAAAGTGGCCTTTTTTACTCAATTTTGCCTCCCCAGGAGAACTCTATAAGCCTCCTAAAGGATATGCATGCCCTTTTTTGACAAAAAAGACTGTTTTTTGCTCATTTTGGGGGACTCCCACCCCCCAGGAGCACTCTACAAGCCTCCTAAAGGCTATTCATGCTCATTTTTGAAGAAAAAAACAGGGCCAATTTTGCAAAAAAAAGGGCCATTTTTGGGAGGTCTGCAGAGTACAAAAACTTTTTTTTTAAATTTGCCTCTTCAAAATCATGGTACATCTTATACTCCGGTGTGTTTTATACTCCAAAACATATGGTAATTCCAGGCATTTGAACCAGTTTCTATCAATCTATCCATCACAAAGCAACAAGCCAATTCTTTTTACATTAAAAAAAAATCCCCAGAGATAATTTTTGAAGTTCCTCTAAGTAAGGTAAATGAACTAATAGATGTTAACTATTATCAAACTAATGCACAATTTGTGGGAAGAGAGAGTAAACTGGTGCCTACAACTCAAACACATGCCTAGAAGTCTTACTTGGCCAGATTATTGTGTGCCTCAATATAGATTCCTTGGGCTTTCTCTGCAAAGGTTTTGATGCGGAAGTCAGGATCACTCGCCCTTATTTTTCGGATTCTGTCAAGAAAAAAGTGGAAGGAGAAAGTAAACAACCAGTTTAAGAAAAAAAGTATCCATAAGATGAAGCTCATCAGACACAGGACCTACATGATCAGCAAAACAGGAGAACACTGTTCCTGCAATCATATTCATATTGATCATAATTTTTACACTGATCAATCTATGGAAGAATAATGGCCAATGAAATCATACCTCGTCGACATCTTGATGGGGAATTATGAGAAAAAAACCCAAACACTAATTTCTGAAGTTATCAATCAATAGCAGTAGACTTATATACCGCTTCATAGGCCTTTCAGGCCTCTCTAAGCGGTTTACAGAGAGTCAGCATATTGCCCCCAACAATCTGGGTCCTCATTTTACCCACCTCGCAAGGAAGGATGGAAAGCTGAGTC